TTACTATAAAAGCATTTAAATAATATATATTATGTATGTATTTAACGTTTTACGTTAATGAAAAAGATTCTGAAAGTATGGGAAACAGTTACCACAACTGGGATTCGAATCCGGGATCTTCTCGTGTCTATGCAGATTTCTTACTAAGGGCTTTTGCTGCAAATTCTATTTGTAAGTACCAAGTAACTAATTGTACACACTCTTCAGCAAATGCGTACAACACTAATTCTCAAGACACTACAAATAACAGAGATCAATATGATACGCTCTCTTCGTATACAGGTAAAAGTATGCAATAAGCAAAAGCATACATATTACAATATCTTTGCCATTTTTTTTTTGTATTTCAGAAGATAATGAACTTTCTCGTATCTCGTAATTTTTAACCCACTCCAATTCAATTTAGTAAACTTAATTATTAAAATGATTTATGTTAGATAATGTAAACTTAATACATCCTCCTCATAAATCACTATCAATTAATCAAATGCAAATTAATTCTAAACAATACCAGCTAAACAAATTCCAGTCCCGAAACCTTCACTCAGAAATACCGAGATAGTAGTCGGCGGGAGATAGTTTTTATCTTTGTTAAGTTTTGTAGTTAAGTTAAAAATTGTAATCCCGGCCCCGAAACCTTGACGAATCAGAAATACCGGGATGGTGTCCGGCGGGAGATAGTTTTCCACCAGTTTAACTATTTGTATTTTATATTATAATGTATTGGTTGCCTTCTTATTTGCTGTTTATTCGACGGTATTATTGCAGGACCATATTGCTGTGTTATCCTGCCTAATATGTTTTAAATAAAATATAAAATACCTTCCGTGAGACCGTATTATTGGAAACAAAGCATGACACACATTCAAAGTCCCTGACACATTCAAATGTTCCCAATATTATTTCATCATGCAATGTTAATGACCAAATATTCCTTTTTATTTAAAATATTGTTTTTTATTGGATGAATGTAGCATGAAGAGTAACGACTTAGAATTAATAGGGCATGTTGTGGTATGTATTAGAATCCTACTGTATAAAAGTACACGAAAAAAAAAAAAGGAAACGAAACATGGTTAATGGTCAAAATTGACAAAGATTAGTTTATATGAAGTAACACATTCAGTAGGCCTACACCAACGTTTACGATTCAGGGGAGAAAATTCTGGTTTATGCTCAAAGGCGTTAAAATATATGAAGTTGAATGAATTTTTCTTACTTTCAGACTGCTGTAGTTGTTGTGTCCCTTATATTTGGCACACTCGCCATAAATTATCCCCGGTCGCCTTTTAAATAAGGGTGTCCCCTTAATAGGTGTTGGCCGTACAGTGTTAAAATATATATTTCCCCTCATTCCACAGAAAAGTGTCCCCTTAATAGGGGTGTCCCAGAGGGCTGTACTTGCATAATTCTGTAACTAATGTAAAGTATCAGAGACCATGTGTGCTTACGGACCCTTAGATGAATTAGGCCCTATATGCCCACCTAATCTGGATATAATATCTGAAATTACTAAAAGACCCGCTCTTCAATTGTA